TTTGTGGGGTGTGGGGGTATTGGGGGCTGGCAGATTACCCAGGGTGTTGAGGAGTTCGTGGGGTGTTTCAAGGTGGGGTTGGATTTTCTTTAAAGGAGAAAGTGCTGTTGGGCGCGCGTGCTGTTGGGCGCGCGTGTATATGTGTGCGTGCGTGAGTGTGAGTGACTGAGAGTGAGTGAAAGGGTCAACATGCATGCATTCACGCGTGCGCATGCAGTGCATGGGCGAGTTCAAGAGCCACTTGATGGCCACTTGCAGTGGCCGCAGCCCTGCCTGAGGAGAACACAAGGCCCGGAATTCTCACTCAGTCCCCGCATAAGCACACGAACACGCACGCACGATGGGCGCCCCCAGTCAGCACAAGTCAGCACCCACCTTCAGGTCTGACCCCAGGTCCAGGCCAAACTCCACGGGCAGGCCGTCGGGCGTCTTACGGGGCAGCGCCGCCACCGCGGCCGCGATCTCCGGCTTGTACCTGCCGCACGGGGGTTTCAAAGGGGAGCGGTTTACTCAGATCGGTGTCAGAGGCTGTGGGGACGTGGCCTTGGTGCGCAAGGGCTGAGACTGAGAAAGAAGGGAGTGAAGGGGGGGGCATCAAGGCAGCGGTGTTCCCAGGGGTGAGAGGGCGGTCGCAAGGGGCAGGGCAGGGGCGGGGGCGTTGAGGACGCCCACCTGGCGCCGCCCGCGCGCGCGGCGGCGGTGGCGACGGCGGCGCGGAAGGCGGCCGCAGCGGCGGGCCTGCGGGCCTTAGCGGCGTCCGCCACCAGGGTGTACAGGCCCTGGGTGTAGGCGTAGACCTGGGGGGTGGGGTTTGTGTGTGTGTGTGTGTGTGTGTGTGTGGTGGGTGAGGAAGGGATGGGGTGTGGGTGCTGGAGACCACTCGAGTTGCAGGGTGTGTGGGCTGGGACGAGTGCGGGGCAGCCGGCAGGGGTGGGGGGGACGTGAAGCCACAGCCTGGGGCGCGACCGCCAGGGACTTCGGCACACACACACACACACACACATATATACACACACATTACACACACATACGCGCGACACACGTTGCGTGTGCTGGTAGGCTGAGCAACACACACGCAAGAGCGCACACTTTCCAGCAGCCGCACCTGGTCTGACACCTTGGGGCCCTGCGCACCCAGGCGGTCCAGGATCAGGGTCTGCGCCTCACACAGGGCCGCGGCGGCCTGGTTTTGGGGGGGAGGGTCGTGCGTGAGGTTGGAAGAGGGGCCGGCAGTTGGTTGCGAGCCGTCCGGCCCGTACGGGCAAAGACGTGGGGGCAAGGACAGGGAGACCCACAACAGCGGCGCTCAGCCGCGCTGGCGTCGAGGATAGGCCTGCCCTGCGTCAGCCAAGTTTTGCAGGCTTTCTGCGCCGCGCCAGCGCCCGCATGTGCGGGAAGCCGCGAGGTCACAGCCACGCAGCCCGACGGGCCCACCTGGACGGACACGCTGTCGGGGGCGGCCGCGATGGCGCCACCGGCGGCGGTGAGCAGCGCCGAGAGCGCGTCCTTGTCAGCCTGCGATGATGAGGCGGTGGGAGATGAGCCCGCATGGATATGGAACGACCGACATGCATATGCACACGCCGCAAGCAGACAGTCCATAGCGCAAGTGCGGCGAGCGTCTAGACACGACCGGGCCTGACCGGCGCTGGGGAGGTGTGCGTTGCCATCAATGCAAGCACACGAGAGGGGCGTGCGAGCGCACGTGTGCGCTGCGGCATGCGTGCGGGCCGGCACGCGGCCGGCGTGGGGCCCGGCCAGCCTGCGCACCGAGCCGAGCAGCGCCAGGCCCCAGGCGGCGTGGATCGCCTGCTCCGTGGACAGCTCCGCTGCGCCCGCCTTGATGGCGGCGGTGGCCTTGGTCAGGGCCTTCGCAGGGGGGCGGGGGCGCAGCGGAGAGTGCGGCGTAGTTCAAATGGTGCGCGGGGCGTCGCGTCAGGCATCTAGAGTGCAGCCTTTGCCGGTAGCAACCAGAAGCCCCATCGGCACCCAAAACAGCATCCAACAGCAAGCAAGCCGCGAGAGGCCTGCAGGTACCCAGGATGGTGGACGTGCACCCAGTAAGGTGCAGCCGCATCCCCCTTTCCCCCCCACCTGCGCATCGAGCTTGTAGTTGAGGGTGGCAAACGCCCACACGGCCGCGGCCGCGTCTGCGGGGGCGTCGCCGGCGCCGAGCTTGGCGCCGAGCGCCTTGCCCAGGGCGTCGAGGACCGGCTTGTCCACCCTGCGCAGGTGTGCGTGTGTGCGCGCGTGCGCGCGCGCGCGCGTGTGTGTGTGTGTGTGTGTGTGTGTGTGTGTGTGTGTGTGTGTGCGCGTGTGTGTGTTGTGTGCGAGTGTGCATGCCCAAGCGAGATGACCTTTGTAGGGGCGAACAGCTGCCCCAGCTGTCGCCGAGATCCGCCCATCACTGCTGCTGGTTGCGTATCAGAAAGCAGCTGCGAGCGCTGAGCAGGCGGCCTTGCACGCGTGCAGCGCAGCTCCGCGACGGACCGCCGCCCAGCACACATGCCCAGAGCTCCGCGGCCTCGATGGGCAGCCTCGCCACGCATCCCGGCACCACCCAGAGCAAAGCCGCCACGCCCGCGACCCCGCCGCCCTTCAAACCTGCCAAGCTTGGCCAGCGCCCACGCAGCCTGCGCGGCGTCCTTGGCCGACGCGCCGCCAATCTTCGACACCAGGGCGCCCGCAGCAGCCTTCGCATATGTGCTGTCCGCAGCGCCGGCCGCGGCGCCACCCCACAGCAGCTTGGCCAGCTGCGTTTCAAGGGTAAGTAGGTGCAAGCACAAGAGAAGGTGAGGCCGGTCCGACATTACAGGGCGGGGGAGGCGCGTGCGCGCTCCAGCGGCAGCGTGTGCAAGTGCGCGGCCGGGGCGTGGGGCGGCGGCAGGCCTTGGAGAGGCCGCAGCGGGCTCGCGCGCCGCACCTCGGAAGCCGAGAAGTCGGCGGCGCCCTTGGTCAGGCGGTCAGACACGCCCCTGGTGCAGGAAGGGTAGGGTGTAAAGGGTGTGAGGGGCGCGGCGGCCTGGATTCCAGGTGGAAAGTTGAGACTGTGACGGAGCCGCACGGCCCAGCTGATTCGTCCCCGCCACGAAACTGCTCCAGGCTGGTCGGGCCCTCAGCGGCTGGCTGTACGCTCAGGCGCAGGACAGGGAGCGCATTTGCCCGCGAAGAGCGCAGCATGCTGCTCGGGGTCAGGAGCAGCAGCAGCGCACAAATGTGCGCAGGGCAGCAGGAACCACACTGTGGCAGCCGCAAGCGCGTGTACGGGCTGAGCAGCAACCGGTGCTCTCTTTGTGGGCGCGAGGGCAGCAGCTGCAGCGGCTGCGCGTCCCGGGCCCTCACTTGAAAAAGTCGGGGTCGTTCACGCCGGCCTTGCCCAGGGCCTCCACCACGGTCGCCAGCTGGGCTGCGGCCACACAGCACGGGCGGTTTGGGGGCCAGGACGGCGGCGGGCACGGGTTGAGGCAGGGTGGGGCGGAGGTGGTAGGGGCCCGGTGGTGCCCGGCCAAAACAGCGACGGCCACCCCACTGAGCAAACTGACAGGTCCTGCGTCACCAACGCACACATACGCCGAGCCCCAGCGCCTACAGGCGCTCGGCCCACAGGCGACAGCCCCCGTGTGCGCACCCGGCGTGAAGCTGCCGAGCAGCTTGGTGGCGGGCGCCGCGAGGTCGAACGCGGTCTTGAAGTGGCCCACGTTGGCAGTGGTGGCGGCCCAAAGGAAGGCCGTGAGGGAGGCGGCATCAAAGCCGCCCTTCAGGGCGCCCGCCTTCTCAAAGATCTTGCCCCACAGCCTGCGCGGTGTCCGCATTCGGAGTTGGCGCGAAGGAATGTGAGGCTCACCGCACCAACGGATACGACATGACTTGCACTCTGGCTGCCGCCACTGCTGCTGCTGCTGCTGCTGCTGCTGCTGCTGCTGTGGCTGCGGCTGCTGCTGCTGTTGCGGCTGCTGGCGTTGCGGCTGCGGCCGCTGCCGCCGCTGCCGCTGCTGCCGCTGCCGCTGCTGCCGCTGCC